TCTAGAAATTAGGTGAAAATGAGCTATCAAAATTCTGAGGCAGTACAATGACGCTCCCACTTCTTATTATGTGAAAGATGCCACTTCGTTTTATTTATTGGGTTTACTATATTTGCTATATATTTCTTCCAGGCTTCCTTTGAATGCTCCCAAGGGGGGGGGGGAATATTCTCCATTGCAAATGGGCAAGAAAACTTATTTCATTCTGCTGCACCATTCATTTTCTTTATTACATGATTCATCCATTTACTATTCATTCATAAATGTTATATTTGTTTACTTTGCCATTCATGGAAATACCATTTATCTCATTATCTTTTTTTGTTGTTGTTGTTGTTATTTAAGCTTTTTGTAAACTGCCTCCTGCCACAGTATATTCAGTTTTAGTATTCACCATCTGATGGATACTATTTTAGAGTGTATATGTACTATTGCAATTTGAAACCACTTTTAACTGCTTTGGCTGCACATCTTGGGTAATCCTGGGAGTTGTAGTGTGGTTGACATACTGTACTTAGATTTCTCTAGGATAAAATCTTGCTGCCAAGCAAGGTCAGAGTGTGGTCCTGGTGGAAAAATATTATTAGTGTGGAAGAACAGCAGTTTGCTTTTGTCTGAGGCTGCTGGGAAGGGCAAGATTCAGCCCCATCTTCTCCTTTCCTCTGCCACCAATGGGTTAATTAAGTGCAAACTACTTCTGCACTTTGAACTCAGTTTGCAGCACTTGAAGTAAACTGAGGACAAAGGGGGGGAATGTGAGGAGAGGAGAAACTGGGACATTTTAAAATCAACTGGAAAAGTGGGATGACAGATGAATTATTATTATTATTATTATTATTATTATTATTATTATTATTATTATTATTATTATTATTATTTCTTACCCAACTTTTTCCATGAATCAAGGCAGGGGACAACAACAATTAATAAACAAGTCCTCTGTAGTATCTGTAGTATCCTCTGTAGTAAGCCCTCTGTATCCATGGATTTTTTACCCACAGATTCAAGCATCCACAGCTTGAAAATATTCAAAAATATTACTATTATTATTATCATCATCATCATCATCCTGCCTTCCTCCCAATACAGGGACTCATGCCAACTAACAAATCTAAAACAGTCCAAATTAAAACAGTAGAAAACATTAAAAAAAAAGTTTAAAAAACAATTAAACCATTCAAACCATTAAAAACATTACATTATTACAGTTTTAAAGTTTAAAACTCTTTAATTCCAAAAGCAAACCTTGTTTTTGACATTTATTATAAGGGGCACCATTCCACTGTGCCATTGTGTTTAATGGGATTTGAGCATCCATGGATTTTAGTATCCAAGGGGAGTCCTGGAACCAAACCTCAGTGGATACCAAGGGCACACTGTAATTAAAACACACGTCAATTTAAAAGACAAATAAGATGTGCACATAATAATAATAATAATAATAATAATAATAATAATAATAATAATAATAAATCAGGATACTCAGGATTGTCCCTGTTAAACTAGGGACGTTATCACATGGGGGCAAATCTGCTGGTTAATCCACA